AAAGGGTCGAATTGTGCTAAGAAATAGTTGATTTTCCTCACCACGAATGGGAGCAGTGCATTTAAAATATTCTTCCATGACTGAGGCAACACATAGTCTGTGATCGGCAGGGAACTTTGGTATCACTAAAGTAGGATGAATGCGTGTTGGTCCAGAGTATTTGACAAGTTAGTCGATATAGAAGGTGTATGGGTCCTCTTCCTTCTTTACAGTTAAGAGGTTCAAGAGGTGTAGTGATTGGGCACGCTGCCCTGTGACTAATGCACAGAGCATTACCAACTTATGAGTTAGCTGTTGTAGGGTTAAGTCTTCTACTGCGGGATGTGTCTTTAAATACTCTAATACAATGGAGGTGTCCCAGGTCACTTGATATCTTGGTAATGCTGGTCTAGAATGGAACACTCCCTTCATAAGTCTCTGAACCATGTAATGTGTACCAATCGTAGAATTCCCTTCAGTAATAACGAATGAAGATAACATACTTCGAGCAGTGTTTATGCAACTGTAACTCATCCCTTGATCAAATAGATGCTGTAGAAAGTCTAGAACTACCTGTAAAGTTGGATGAAGGGGATCTGCATTACGTTTATTAACATAAAGTTGCCACTTGTTAAGGTACACCTGATATTGTTTTTGTGTTTCTGGCCGCCAGGAATTAAGTATTTTTGCTTGAGCCTGTGGTAAAATGCACTTACTTGAGAGTGATCTCCGGATAAGAGACAAGCTATCAGTCTCAGTCTCCATTTGAGTGGATATTCTTTTGTTTGATTGGATGGTAAGCTCACGTTGCTTTTGTTTTTGGGTAGGATAATGGGTGGGTGAATTATTAATCTTGCATGCATCGGATACTAGGATTGAATTGGCCAATTCGGCACGATAAGAATTTTCCGTGCCTGGGACATTTCTACTTTTTGTAAAACTTGTGATAAAACACTAAAGGGTGGAAAAGCATAAAGAAAGAACTTACTCCAATGAATGCATAAAGCGTCAATAACCCACGCCTGTGGATCTGGATGCCACGAGACATAAGGTTTAAGTTGACAGTTTAGTCTAGAAGCAAACATATCAATTTCTGGGGTCCCAAAATATGCTGCTATTTCAGGAAATAATTCAGCATCAAGCTCCAATTCTTTGGATTCATCAAATGTTCTGGAAGTTTCGTCAGCCACCACATTAATTTTCCCAGGGATATAGCTAACAGTTAACAATATGTCCCTTATTCTGCCCCACGCCCATATTTCCCTTTCAATTTTATTGCAATGGTGAGAGTGGCAGCCCTCCATGTGGTTAATATATGTAAGGACCGTGGTATTGTCGGTCATTACTTTAATGTAACAGGTCACAGTTTTCGGAGCGTTTTGCCCCTTCCTTCCGTTTTGACAATGTTTGTTCGTTTAGTCCAGTGGACAAAATGCTGTTCAGGATTTTAGAAATTTTAGTTGGCAATGGTTGATCTGTCGGTTCATTCTCAGTCAATACGTGTATCAGCTCATCTACCAAAGCATCGCTTTGGTTTGCTAGAGCTGGAGCTGTATCTGCAACTACAGCAGCAGCCCCGTTGGTTGATTGTTCGTCGTCAGTTTAAGCTTCAGACATAACATCACCATCGTTCATTTAACGTGCGGCATCATAAGCTTGCTTGAGCTCTTTTACGACTGGAGCAAAAGAATTCATCAAGCCAGTAAGTTGATCGACTTTCCTGTTAAGGTCGTCCAAAGTAGTTCTCCCGTCATTTCCTTCTTCCACGAGATTGTTGTTGTTGGCTTTAGCAGGGTGTTTATACTCGCCCCCGCCAGATTTGCTCATTTTCCCTTGTAGACGAGACCGTTTCTGTTGCGGTTTATCGTCTACTTTCACGTATCCTAATAAGCCCAACAGCGTCGGAGTAGGATGGTTATGCAAGAGCGTCAGGTCGTCTGCTTGCTCAATTGCTTCGCTGACTTGTGCCATTTGTTGTTGAATAGATTATCTAACCACAGAAAAAGAGTTTGCCGCGCAAACTCAGTGGTTATGGAGGTGTTTTGTCCTGTATTGTTTGCTAAAACTTTTTTGTCGTTCTACACAGCAGGATGGAAAATGATTTTATGGATTATTTGTATATGACCAAACACGCCATCTGTAATGGCGGTGAGCTACGTAGAGAATGACCAATGGGCGCATGCCTAGTATCTCTCGTGGGATCTCTGCGGTAGATGCTAATAGAATCAATGTTTATTTCCATTCTTAATGAAAATCGTTTGAATGTTTCTATAGTTGATTTTTAAAGCAATTATTAATACCACGACTGGAAAATATGTCTCATTTTTTGTTTCAAATTATCCACTATAAAAATTGCGGCTCTTACACAAAGAAAAGATTTGATAATAAATAATTCTGAGTCAGTGATGCGCTTGACATTCACAGATGCCATGTCATAATGAGACATTTCTTTTTAAATAAATTAATCTTAAGTAAACAGTACAATGTACAAATGTAAAGTAAAGATTAGGTTCCAGGGGTCAAAATGAACTCATGATAACGTATATATTTCATCATCAATCATTATTTTTCAATATAATTACACTTTAGTAAACAATACAATGTATAAATGTAAAGTTAAGATTAGGTTCCAGGGGTCAAAATGAACTCATGATAACGTATATATTTCATCATCATTCATTTTGCACGTAATTTATTCTTAGATGAACTTTGATTTAGCATGTACACTGAGAAACTGAAATCAAGATACTTGTTTTGTTTTCCAACGTGTCTAACTGTTTTAGTTACATGAATTAAATCGTGCAACAACACAAAGTCGAGAAATTTCACTGACTGTCAGGCCAGGCCCGCCGTGAGGTGATAGGCAAGGGGGCATTTTGCCTTGGGCCAGTAATATAATAGAGGCCGGCGCCTCCCCATTTGGACACATGAAAATTTCAAAATTGAAGTTTATAGAAAAAGTAATGAATGATTTGTGTATTATTTGTACTTTTCTTACGTTATCTCATCATGCAGAAGGCATTCATCAATTGTTAAGTTTTTAGAAATTCTCGTAGCATCTTCAAACGGAATCACGCTTTAAGTGTTATTAATATGAGTAGGCATGTGGCTAGGTTGTAAAATTTGGGGAAGCAACATCATTTTATTTTTGGGGAGGAGCAGTTGTAGACGTCAAGTTATACTGTATTATAACAATAATATAATTTATCACTAGTTAGTTTTTGTGGTTAGCCGCTGTACATGCGTGGCTAACCACTATGCCATACTGAAAGTGTCTGAGTGAGGCAGTGAGGCAGGCAGTGTTTGTTCGTCGTGATATCCTCGGCTGTGTCATCAGTGATAGTCGCATATGCGAACGATCACATATAAAATTGTTTTAAGTAAAGTCAATACTTATGTTGTTCTTCAATTACCTGTGCTTTGAGCGTATAATCTGCACTTTGTTTAGTGACTATAGTCAAAACCGTGCAGCTGAAAATATCATTCATTTATACGCTTTACTGGTGATTGCGGACGTCAAATATATCCTATGGGGACTACTGCAGTTTAGCGGACACCTTGGACGCTGGCCCAAACCCTACCCTATAATCACAAGCAAAACGAGCCTGCGGTTACAAGCGCTTCCGGTGTCCGCTGAACTGCAGTCTAGCAAAAATTTAAATTGGAACAGAATCATCAGCAATATAGTCCTATCAAAATGTTAGTAAGCAAATATTCATACAACACAGCAAACCAGTTTGATGTATCTTGTTAAAAGAATGACGTATCTTTTCATCACACGATTGTTAGACAAATAAGATATATTATTTATCAACTAGGAGTTACTATCGCAAGGTATATGCTGCCTCTTGCGTCGAGTAGGCAAAAATATTATTATTTTAAGTGTTTTTTCATTGTATCAAGTCTACTATTTTAATGCCTTGATGTAAGATCAATTACTGGGTCATGTCACTAGGCAGTGAACACAATTTTTATCGAGAAAAAGAAATGAACCACACAAGTCTTTATAAATGACTTGTAGTACTATTTTTAATTTATCCTTTTAACTTTTGTAAACATTTTGTACATTTTATATTATACCTTTTTTCACAAACTCATTCCTCATTTCTAGAATAAAAAATGGTTTCGCCACCTAATAAATTAAAGATTGAGGAAAATGGATCTTGTTGTTCTCATTTTGTACATTGCAAATTGATGCTTTTGCACAAACTCTTTCTTCATTTCTAGCTTGAAAATGGCTTCACCGCCTCAAAAACTGAAGTTTGAGGCAAACGGATCTCGTTTAAGTAAACTTTTAATCAATAAAGGAACACAAGCTTTGAAAATAACATTGCAAATCATTATAAACCTTCAATCATCAAACTTAAAAGATAAACTTAATGATCCTTCTACAAAGAGTAAATTGACACCACTAAAGTTCAAAGTCATCAGCCATGAGCAATGGAACCTTCTTTACCCATTAACTGGCTCACCTGACATTGAACACTTTGATATTTCATTATTGACTGTCTTATTGCGTAACATATGTGGTCTAACAGCGCCACATAGTGGATGGAATAATCTTCCTTCCTCTTCAGATACTTCAATCTCAGCAAACATTGCAAGAATAAAGTTTTATCGAAACGAAGTGTACGGTCACATAGCTAAAACTAGTGTAGATGACAGTGAGTTTGAGTACTTGTGGCAGGAAATTTCAAAAGCATTGGTTGGTTTGGGCATTCAACAAACTGAAATAGATGAATTGAAAGAAGCTCGTCTCAGTCCGATGAAGCAAATTATATTGAAATGTTAAAAACTATGGAAAATAAAGTAGAAGAAATTAAAGAAAAGATGACTACAATAGCTGATGTTGTTGGAGTAAAAGAAATGTTGCAAGTCAAACTATATTCTGATCTCAAGAAACTTGGTGCAACGGTCTTATAAAAGATCTTAACAAGAAATACTTGCAAGGCACTAGACAATGGTTATTTGAAAAACTCGACACTTGGTTTAACGATAGAAGTGAAGATGCTTCTAACGTCATGATTTTGATTGCCGGTCCTGGTGTTGGTAAAAGTGTGTTTGCTGCTGAGGTGTGTCGACGATATTCTGAAAAGAAGAAACTTGCTGCTTTTCATTTCTGCAGATATAATAGATCAGATTATAGAGATCCTCGAAAATTGATAGAAACATTGGCTAGTAGCATGTGTGATACAATATCAAACTTTAAAAGTAAACTGAATGAAGAATTACAGAGAAACAATTCCAAAGAATCGATCACCGATGAATTCTTTGTTTTATTAAATAATCCATTGCATTCATTGGAAGATTATGAACCAATGCTTTTGGTTATTGATGCCTTAGATGAAAGCCAAGTTGACGGCAAAAGTGAATTGTTGGAATTGATTGTAGAAGAGTTTGACCGACTGCCTAAATGGATTAAAATCTTCATCACCAGTCGTCCAGAACTTCCTGTTCAAAAAGAGTTGAAAGACATGAATCCTGTGGAAATTACAACTCGTCCTCGTGATGAAAACAACGAAGAAGACCTGCACAAGTATTTGAGACATCAGTTGAATGATCGGGTGCAGAAAAATCGCTACCTTCTTCAGTCATTAGTTAAAAAATGTGAGAGATCATTTCTTTACGCTTATCACGCACAACTGAGCTTAAAGAAAGAAGAAATTGAGCTTACTTACGAAAACATTCAACAATTGGTCCCTAGTGGGTTAAGCGGTGTTTACACAAAGCAATTCGAAAGAGTAAAAGAATTGTTAACGAAGAAAAGTACCACAAAATCTGTTATCTCAGAAACTAACTTCGTGCAATTTCTTGAATTGTTGGCTGCCTCTCGGGAGTTTTTACCATTAACTTTCCTGTTTAGCTATTTAGGATTTTCTGATCACATCAAGTTTGAAGTCCGCAGTAATATCATTGAACAGTTATCTCAAATTTTGCCAGTTTACGATGATTATTTGACCGTGTATCACAAATCTCTAATTGATTGGTTAAAATCAGATGGTTACGAACAGCATGAGTTTACAGTTGATCCAAAAAATGGTCATAAGTTTTTATGGCATGCTTGTGAGAAAGTGTTTAAACAAATTAAGTGGATGAACATTTTTGAAGATCAGATGGACACTGCTATGATTAAATATGCTTTGAAGAATGGAGTCCACCATATGATAGAATGTCGCGAAAATGTTCACTTTAGATGGGCAGTTGATGTCAAAGTGGTTTGTGCAAGGTTAATGGGTGTAGAAGACATTGGCATACATACCATTGACTCTGAATTGCGTGAAATCATTAAGGAGCGGCGTATTTTCTTGAAAAAAGATGTACTTGAAGAGCTACTATTTCATTTATTGATGAAGTCAATGAGAATGAGATATAAGTTTGGTCATAGCTTAATTTATTTACAAATTATTGCAAACGAAATTGATAGCAAAAACGAAAGAAGATTATTGGCAAGGGATTTATTGAAAAAAGGAAAGTTTGTTTGGTTTGAGGATTTAGACTCAACATATTTAACAAACCATCATCATTTGACTGTCTCCTTACGTGCTAACGTTACATCTCTTTGTGTGTCGTCCAATGAAGAACTTCTTGCTGTAGGATATGAAAATGGTCAAATATATATTTTTGAACTTCCTGAATTCGAACAACGATTCACTCTTGACACTGCTCTCGATGATACAAGGTTAGGTAAGTTAAATGTAAGAAAAATTATGTCCCGGTATGACATCTATCACAATTCAACAACATCAAACGAATCGTGTTTTGTACGTGGAAACATCTGTTGTTGCTCCTTTTCACCTACAGGAAATAGACTGGTAACTAGTGATGGATCTACTGAAGTAAAGTTGTGGGACGTTAACAATGGACGTTTGTTATCATGTTTACAGTCAGATGATGTCGTTAATCGTTGCTCTTTCTCAGATTCTGGTTTGTTTATTACAGCAAGAAATGATGTAGGTTTTCAGTTTAAATTCACTGCATGGAATTCATTAACTTTGCAAAGAATTGATCGACGCTGCGTTGTTGATTACCAAAAACTACAATGCACCGATAAATGTTCAGAGTTCTTTGTTACAGTCTTTGGATATCGTTCGTATGTTTTTCAATTCCCAAAGGCAATCGATATTTTTGCAAGAAAAAATAGGTATTCACTATCTTCAAATTCAAAGACAACCCACCATTATCGTAGTTGTTTTTGTTATCATACAAACCAGGTTGTAAAGCTTTCTGAAATCACTCAGTTGACAAAATACAACGATCAAGGCGAAATCGAGTTTTGTTTACCAAATGTTAGTTGTCAATGTCTTCGTAGGAATCTTAACAAAGTCCATCCCATCTCGTTTAAGGAATTTTACGTTGTGCCGTATTTTTCCAAGCTTAAAATTTTCAAAACTGATCATCTTTGGAGACCTTCATTTATCTTTGAGAAATTTAAAATTGAATGTTGTTGTTTTTCACCGGATGGATCTTTTTTGGCTGCTTTCGCTGTTGGTGACCACGTCAACATTCATATTTGGAGCATTGAGCGTTGCACTATTATTCAAACTGTACCAATGCAACTGAAGAATGCATTTGGATGTTGGTGGTCAGATGGTTTACTGTGGATTTGGGATGGTTCTGATCATCTTTTGAAGATGTCCACTTCCTCTGAAAATTTTGTAGATTCTTCTCAAGCAAAGCAAGTTAACTTTGGGTTTGAACCTAAGAAAATCTTAACATTTGGTGATGTCTTAGTTTGTAAAGACCATAAATGTTTTGTTCAAATTGTTAGAATTACCAAGGGTAAGATAAAATACAACAAAATACTTCTTGTCGACAGTTTTGAATTGAAAGCAGCAGCTGTATCACCTGATAATTCGGTTATTTTAACTGTAAACAAAACAGAATACACACTATGGAAATGGGGAAATAACAACTATGAACTTTACTTAAAACCTTGGCATACTGCAGAAATACCCATAACAGCTGTCATTGAAAAATTTGTTTGGAAACAGATAACTGAAAATGATCTAGAGTTCAACTGCTGTATAAGTGATAGTAAACAAGCAGTCATAACATTTTGCAAAGGCATCAGATGTAAGGGCATTTATGTAATTAATGTTCACGAGAATGGTGATGTGAATGAGATTTTGCATGATGTCGGGAAACTATATTTGGAATCCAACCTAGTCGTACACAAATCTTATTGCATTGTAGTGTCTTTTGAGTCATTGCGTGCTGTAGATTTAAAAAGTGGTAAAGTATGCGCTAAATTTCGCGAAGGAGATTATTTCATGCCTAATATAACTATGCATTCCAACACAGGAACTTTAGCTTTGGTTGACAATATAGATTGCCGAATTCAATTTTTAAAACTTAATGTTCCTGAATAAATACATCAACTCCAACTTTAATAGTAAATTCAAAAAGCTGTTGAGAAAATTGAACATAGATGTTGATGGTCGTAAGGATGGTTGCTTGTTTCCACCTACTATAGTCTTCTACAGAAGAAGTATAATTATTCTACCAGGCAATCTTTAAGAAATTATGTATATTTACCACAAATAAATTTGGACCAATTTTGCAAAAGATCTTTTAAATTTATCGGTACTATTTCTTGGAATGTGTTACTTCCTGCTATTAAAGAATGTAAATATTATCTAAATGTCCTTCTTCATTCAAACCACTACTTTACCGACGCTACGTTGACGACTGTTTTTTACTTTTTCATTCCTCCGATCACGTCCCTCTCTTTCTTGACTATCTGAACCGACAACACCCTGACATCACATTCACAGCTGAAGTTGAACAAAACAGAAAGCTCTCATTTCTTGACATTGATATCTCTCGCACTAATGGAAAATTCACCACTTCCGTCTACCGCAAACCTACTTTCACTGGTCTCTTCACCAACTTCCACAGCTTCATCCCACTTACTTACAAACTTTCATTAGTCTCCTGCTTACTTCACTGCATCTTCAACCTTTGTTCTACTTACGAAAATTTTCATACACAACTCGAATTTAGCAGAAAGTCACTCACCAAAAACGGTTTTCCTTCAAGTATAATTGACCAAATCACACGTCGCTTCCTAAACAACACCTTTGCCTCCAAACCACCTGTCTTGACTGCTCACAAAATGCCCATCTATTTTTGTCTTCCTTTCACCGGCATACACTCCCTTCAAATTCGCACACAAATCAATAGCCTTTGTGCTGCAGCCTCCCACATATATCTATTAAATTTGTTTTACGCCATTCCCAACGTATCTCTTCTTTCTTCCACTTTAAGGACATAATTCCCAAACCTCTGAGATCTGGTGTAGTCTATTAATTCTAGTGTCGAAGCTGCAACGCTTCGTATGCGGGTCAAACCACGTCATCTACACCCCAGATTTTCGGAGCACTTGGGAATATCCCCCCTTACAGGCAACCAAGTTTCCCACCCTGCGTTATCAAGCATTCTCGCTCACATTAACGCAACTGGACACACCCTTAACTTAGACGACTTTAAAATAATCTCCTCTTCCAAACATACTTATGAACTCTCCATTCATGAAAGCCTTCTAATCAATAAATACAAGCCTTAACTTAATGTGCAAGGAAACTGCATTCCACTTAACCTCTTTTAATTTCTCTTTATTTTACTTCCTAACTTCCTTATCATATATCCATTTGACACCGCCTCCTTTAGTAGTAATTTAACACCTTTTTGTAAATATAATATCTTGTCTTAATATCCTATTTATTATTTTTCTGAAGATGTCTTGAGTAAAGACAAAACGTTACAATAAATTTAATTTTACAATTTGTTTTTTTTTGTCTATTTCTATGGCTCTAATCTGAACTTTATATTGGGCATTAATTTTTATTACACGAAGTCAAAATATACTTGACTCATTATTTAGTATTGACGTCATGTAATTTGAATGGTTGGAAAAAAGTGAGAACGCGTTGTACACCTGAGTGACCTTTCTCTATAATTTTTACTCTGCGCCCTCACTTAATTTCAGAAGCGTTAAAATATTTTAATTCTTATGTGTTTACGTTAACGTCAGTCAAGTAGCATTAACTTTATAGAGATAAAATGTAAGTACTGTGTATTTACTGGCGAAGTAAGAAATATTTATGGAAGAAATCAACAGGTCTTGTTATACTCTTTGTAATGTGAAGGATTTTACTATTTGTCACAAAGTAGTTTAAATTTAGAGTGGTAAATGTGTTCATAAAAAACGAATTTTGATATCTGTATTGTATTGGTTAAATATGGAGGTTACACTATAATGGAATGTTATAAATTTATTAAAGAATATTTTAAAACTTCAATCGTATTTATGAACATTTACATTGGATTATGAAAACTGACTTTATTCTATAAAGATTAAAAGAGGCAAATGCAGAAGAGGAGAATGAAAAAACATGATCCAGGTTTTATAGAACTTAAATGAGTTCATATGTGTTAAATTTTGTTTGAAATAATATGAAGTTATTATGAAGGATCACGGTGGTCTTTTTGCTATTTGAATACAAACAAAAGAAATCATCTTTAAACTAGGATTTTGTGACCAAATCTTTAGTTGTCAATATAAGAAACCACGTCTCGAACACGTTCAACGCGTTTAAATGTAAAAATCGTTAGAATCTCACGATTTCTTTTGTGTTTTAATGTCGTTATGCAAAGTAACGATGCATGATGTTGTGGAGTAGGTTTGGATTCATTAGACCTAAATGAATTTAGAAACTAGACTTTAATTTTGACCAAATCGTAATAGAATCTTGCAGTCATATCTTGATAAGTTAAGGTTGTAAGAATGGTTTAAGTTCGCTCTGATTGACGTCACCAACATCTTCAAGCCCAAAATCATAATGTTTGCGTTATTTAATAGGCTTAATAAATTTAATTAATAAATGATTGGCGTAATATCGCGGAAAATTGTTATTAGCATTCACGTATATTAATGTAGGGAGAGCATCGTTCTTTTCTTTGGCAACAATACGTTTTGTTTTCAAAAATTAGATTAGATTGATATCCGGTAATTTGTTCAAGTACAAACAATGAGTTTTAACACTCTAGAGACCGTTGTTGCTCACAGGCAACAATCACCAAACGAGATGCTTACGAAGGCCCGGCTCCCAGAGGATTAAACAATCATGTGGAACAAATACATATAATGACAAGCTTAATACTATTTATAAATATACCTTTCACTTCAAGCCACATATAAACCACGAGGCGTCATGGAAGGCAGATGTTGTTCATATAAGATGGAACAAGACTTTGCACATAGAAGACAAGTATAAAGATTTGTGATTGTGCCAATCAATATAAAGTTGTTGCTTTCAACTCTCCTCGAAGACAAGTTATTTGAAAACCACGATGTACAGATAAATACTATCAGTATCACATCCTAAATGTTGATAGCATCTGCAAAAAGAAATTTGAAAGAGGAAAACCCTTATAAAATGTGTGACACACGTAGCTACTTGTTTCGATATCATTTATGAAAATAGATCCTACGGCTGGAAACTACAAATGTAAGTGACTAAACTGACGATAAATTATTCTTTGTTTTTCGATTTATCTCTATTGTTATTGTGAAAATCTCAATGGTTTTCATTGATGCTACTGATTTCTGGTTTGTTTCTTCAATATCACATTAGTTATAACTGAATATATGCAATGAATATGAATACACTAAATTTGTCATCTGTTTCCAATGCACTATGTGAATGAGTGCAGCTTTCATAGATTAAGGTGTAGACTTGCAATAAATGAGAACCGTAACTGTTTTTTTGCTCAATTTTCTACGACTCTCTACTATATTTTTAGTAGTAGAACCTCGGAGAAAACAGAACGCCCTTAAACCCGATCTTTACCTTAACCCAGCAAGACATGACTGCAAGATTCAATTAATATTTGGACGAAATTAAAGTCTAGTTTATAAATTTATTATCGTCTCACGAATCTTAGCCTACAACATCATGCATCTTTGCTTTACATACCGACATTAAAACGCAAAAAATCTGAAGATTCTGATGAATTTTTTTATTTAGATACGTTGAAGGATAATTACTTATTGTCTTTGTAAAAGGTGAAGAGCTCCTAAGGAGCTAATCACAATAAAATATTTTCGTAATACGAAAGCTAGGCCTCGTAATATGAAAGCTTTCAATGTAAAATGCTTTGATAACGATGTAAAGCCTTTGATCGTTTGAAACTTGTTACATCTTTCTAACTTAACCAACAAAAGCTATTCGTGCAATGTTGGTGAATGTTGTACCATTTGGATAGTCAAACAGAAAACATATAACAATTTGCTCATTCTCAATACATCTGATTAAGAATTTAAAAACGCAAACTAACGTCATATGTAGATTTCTTCATCATGAAATGTCGTATATGTGTTTTATATTCTCTAGCTTAGATTGTAGATCCCACATGGATAGAGTTGTGAAAGTCCCGTTACCACCTGTGTCATTCACTTCAATTAGTCTTACTAGTTCATCATTTCTCATGTGTCATTGTGATTCATGGCCAAAAATGTTCATTTGCAGTTTGGATTTTTGTGGATGTCAGTTGTTTGTTCATATAATGATCATGGGCCCAATTGTTATATGAGCCCACCTAAAGGTGAGCAGCTGACATTCGTAGGAGATCAAATCTGCACTAAGCATTCTTTGAGTGATGATATAACTGGGGTATTGAAGTGATCCCTTTTCCTCCGCTTGAAGTTACCTTAAGAGTGCATCGTAAACAGTAATCTATTAAAATGGTGATTCATAATACCAGTATCCCCTTTATTGCTTACGTCGATTACTTTGTGTATGGAATGGTATAAACATATTGAATGGACATTGCATGACGGCATTTGTATGTGTGAGCATTATTATTGAAATGATTGGACTATAATCTACGAAGATGGAAAACAAGCGAGTTAAAAAACATGATCCATGTCTTGTGGTTTTTAAGTTGAGTAGATAAGTATTAAAATTAACTTATAGCTATGAGTAACTGCATGAGATATTCAAAACTAATCCTGATGGTCTATTTTATAATTTGAACCATTGTCATGAAAAACACCCATATTAGCTAAAAAATGTCAATAAAAGATGTCAATTGCTGTAAGAAAAGAGCTGGTTTCACTCGCTTCTTTTACTAATTTTATTAAACGTTTATAAACAAAATTGCAATGCTGCAAGTAGGGTTCATTGAATTTTTAGATAAAAATGTTACAATAATATTTCTACTATATACACGTAAAAACTGCGCTGTAAAAAAAGGGGAAAAGACCTACTAAGATGCCTGTATCAGACGGACCAGGACAATGCTTGAAAATCAGGTATTAAAGTTTTGTTCTTTGCAAAATATATAATTTCTGATTTTAGTCATTCATTATGCTGACATTTATAATCTGTTTTTTTATAGAGTCGCTATGTCTGTAGGCCTAATAACTAGATAATGAATGTGCGATCAAGTTGGACAGAAGCACGAAGAAACAAGCATCCTTATTGAAAGATTCCCACTTGTGACTTTCGTTATGCTTACTATTAATCAGTATAACGCATTTTAAATTAAACCGTTAAAATTTCCGTAAAACTAA